AGAGAGAGAGAGAGAGAGAGAGAGAGAGAGAGGAATCGCCATAACTATTTTGTATCCGTCAAGGCCAGAGGGCCCCACGATGAGCTGACCGGGTACTTCCCCACGACAAGACCGTGGGCTGATACATCGATTTCATCAAACATATCGACGGCCAAGAAAGAACCTCCGTGAGCAGGACGTGCCCCTCATAGGAACAGACAGAATACGAAGGAAAACCCGTACATATAAGAAACCTTACTATCTGAGGAAACTCAACATGTCCATAAAAAGACGACGCGTGCGTATGTGTGTGTGCGAGGTAGGTGTGTGTGTGTGTGTGTGTGTGTGTGTGTGTGTGTGTATTTGTGTGTGTGTGTGAAAGATAGAGAGACACACACACACACACACACACACACACACACACACACACAGAGCGAGAGCGAGCGAGAGAGAGAGAGAGAGAGAGAGAGAGAGAGAGAGAGAGAGAGAGAGAGAGAGAGAGAGCAAATAGCTTCACGGGTCCTTACGAACCGAACAGGAAAGAAAGCTTATTACACTAGACTCGGAGAAAGAGAAAGAGGAGGCAAATCCAGTGCGCGCAGAGGGATTAGAAGACCCGCGCCATCACGGGCAGATTACGGTCCTTAACGATAGCAATTTTCAAAACTTCCCACGAACTAACTACATCAGTCTCTTCGTTTACAGACGTAACCTAATCCTCACTGATCCGAGACTGTCCGCTTTTGGGATCGCCCCAAGCGTAAACAACGCGGTCATTAAGTGGCTGTAGCTCCCTGAAGTTCATGTTTCCTTGGCCGTTGAGCTTGTAGATGAAGTCACTAATCAAGTTCACTTGGCGCGCACAGATCGGAAGCGGTTTGCTAAAGAAGTACCACAGGAGGCCTTCCGTGCAAGGAGGAGTCGTAAGACTGCCGGGGTAATAGTGAAGGTAGGTGCCGTCCTCAGGAAGGAGCTGCGAGAGCGAGAACCCGCGCATATCCAGACGCAGGATCTCGAACGGCTTCTTGCGCGCAAGCGCGGGTAGTGCAGCAAACACCCTGTCTAGTACTGGATTACAAGTGTCCCAGAAGGAGTAATATCCCCGCTTGAAGAACACGCCCCAAACTCCGTGGCTCGGAGCCTTGTGTGGCCCCTTAAGAGCGTGTACGCAATGCATCTGCAAGTCGAAGTACTTTCCCTGCACCGCAGTCTCAGAATGCATATGGAAGTGGCACTGTTTGAGGTAGTAAGTCCGAGAAACCACGTCAATGCCGCCATAGCCACCAGCTTGAGGGATGTAACTCTTGGCACTCCATGACGTCGAGAAGTTGTACGGCTCAACGTCGAACATCGGAAGCTGCATCGTGTTAGCTCCGTCCAAGGCCATCTCGAAAGTTCGCCCGTTGTGGAAGAGAGACACTTCTCCCTTCACGCGAGGATAATCCGCTCTCGGCCGGAGGTCTCCGAGGTCCTGAACACGAGCAACCTTCCACACATTCACGTCCAGTGGAGATTGGAATCTGGACTTAGGATCGGTACACACTCCCGGCCAATCGTGGCCGTGCTTTCCGTAATCGTACGACGGCAAGTCATGGTCACCGAAATGGAGATCACGGGATCCCGACGCGGAGGTGCCACCGGTAAGATCGTCAGAAGAGGACAACACGAGGGGAGGGCAGCACATCAACCCGAGCATCAAGACGACAAGGAAGATAAGCGATTCGCGCCATGAGATAAAAGAGCTAGAAAAATAGTAGGAGGAGGAGGAGGAGGAGGAGGAGGCGGAGGAGAACGACGACGATGACTGTCGGCCCATTGCGCTCCTCATCGGTGACAGCAATTGACGACACCCGCGGAGCGGAGCTATGGTTGCAGGCAATTGACGACACCGCCGGAGCGGAACTATGCTTGCACAGCAGATGGAGGGCTGGCAGCCTCCGTTCGGACAATGGCAGCCTATCTTCTGACTATGGCAACCTCTGTTCTCACTATCTTTTCTCCTTTCCTCCTCTGCCTTTCGTCTATCTGCTTGCTTCTCCCCCTCCTCGATTCGATTCCTCAGCAGGCGATCGCGGTGTCAGCGTGGCATTACCACACGAGCTGAAGAAGCTGAAGAAACGCTTTCCTTCCTTCACCGAGGCATAGCCCATCCCGCTTCGCCAAAAAAAACGCAACCTCGACTCCCGCCCAACCACACGTCTCACTTTCAAATGATAAGACCGCGCCGAAAACATAAACGTTTTTTCTTCGTTGACGGGATTAGTACCTCACGGTAATTTCCCGGCGCTGAGGTTGCAGGGCGGGGCGAAGTCCCAAGTAGAAGGGCGTCAGTTTCGAGTACGGACCGCTTCCCGCCATCCGATCTGCGCATCTCACGGGTGTGCTGTGACCACTAAGAGAGGGGCCTTAGTTTCGAGTACGGACGCCCTTCCTGCCGTCCGATCTGCACATCTCACGGGTGTGCTGTGACCACGAAGAGGGGCTTTAGTTTCAAGTACGGACCCCCTTCCTGCCAGTGCCATCCAATCTGCACATCTCACGGGTGTGCTGTGACCACGAAGAGGAGATTTAGTTTCGAGTACGGACCGCTTCGGCGCTTCCTGCCATCATCCGATCTGCACATCTCACGGCCGTGCTGTGACCACCGTGACGTTAAAAGATACTCGAAAGGAAGGTTTAAACCCCCGCGCTCCAGCTCTCAATGGACCGCCCCGCACTATCTGTGCTTGCTGCAACAGCGCCAAGGTCCCACTTGCGCAAATTAGGAGACTTCGGCCGTTGATCTTTGCTATCTACGGTCAGTATCTCTTAATTCGTTCAAGAGGGACCTAGCCCCAGGGTTCGAAGACACCTGTCTGCTAATTAACAGTTGCATGGGGGTACCACTGAGCCATATGCGCTCTTGACCCCAATTACCTTTTACCTGGCGACCGCCATCGCTCTCACCGCCTTCGGCGTACATGACGAACCCTCAAAAAAAAAAAAAAAAAAAAAAAAAAAACGCGCCGTCGCCACGACTGTATCTCACCTAATAAGTGATGCGCTGTGCTCACGGCGAAGACGGTAGCTCCGCCCATCTGAGCGCCTCAGCCGGGCGCTCAGCTGAGTCAGCTCAGAACCCGAATTTGAGCGGGAAGACGCACTGCTGAGCTGGCAAGATCAACATTGGGCCTCGATGCACTACTGTCCACATGCACAGAACCCCCCCCAAAAAAAGATGGCAATGTATGGTTCCATGTTCCAGCTGTAGATTCAGTCTCGTTTTGCACATTTGGAGAGTAGCTCGCGTCACTTCCCTCGAAATGTGCCAAACGAGAGTGAATCTTCAGCTAGAACATGGAAAGATGCGCCGCCATGATTTTTGTCTTTTGTGCATATCCAGAGTAGTGGAGCGAGGCCCATTATCGTGACCAGGTCCATGTTTTCTAGGGCCAACAGGGCTTGGGCCTCAGGGCATAGGCCCATAGGGCCTCGCTGCACTACTCTCGAAACGTGCAAAACGAGAGTGAGGGTCTCGCTCCACTACTGTCCACTGTACAAAAACGGACAGTGGTCGCTCCACTTAGGGCCTCGCCGCACCACTGTCGAAATGCAATTTTCGACAGTTTCTCTTCGCCACACAGGCTGTCGAAGTCGGAGACGGGAAAAAAATTCTCCAGTTGTCAGAGCATGCTTCTCGACAGCTCCTGTCAAAAGTTGTTGAATCCCCAGCCTGCTACTCCCATACTTTCGACACTCCTCGGCTGCGCCCAAGATTTCTCTTCGAAATTCGGTGAGGGGGGGTAAGGTCGGGATGGACTAATGCTTGTCAGACGTCGTCTTTTTCCATCTTGTATTCACAAGTGCGTGCACTCTACAGTGCTGTGTGGCTAAAGGGGGGCAAACTGTCGAATGGAGGCTGTCGAATTTGTTCTGACAGCCGTCGAATTTTTTCGCCTTTCGACTGTGGTGCGGCGAGGCCCTTACTGTCCACTGTACATGTGCAAAATGGCTTGGACAGTTTTTAGAAACCCCATCGAAAATCTACTGTCCGTGAATGTACAGCTCCCAGCCTGCAAAATTCGTTACGCGGAAAGTCCTTCAAGGGACTCACCGTGAGGACCCGAATTTGGAGAGTGCACCTGGAGTTTGGGCGGACAAAACCCTATGGACGTCCTGTCTTGTAGTGCTATCAATGTGTCTGGTGGTGAAGCCACGAATTTGAGAGGTGGACAGCGGACAGCGGACAATAAGTGGAGCGATGTCGCATTTTCCACTGTCCGCTGTACAATTTTTTGCTCTGACAACTGTCCACCAACTGTCCAAAAAATTGTACAGTGGACAGTAGTGGAGCGAGACCCTGAATCTTCTCCTATAACATGGAAAGATACACCACCACAATTTTTGTCTTTTGTGCATGTCGAGAGTAGTGCAGCAAGGCTCATACTCACACTCACACGGGGACAAGCTGTCCCTGGCGGCCCGCGGCGGCTGCTTTCGTTCACGTGCGGGAGCAGAGCTTGGCCAGAAAGGCGGGTGGGGAGTCTGCCGTAGCTATGTTCGGAGTGGGTGCTGTGTGACGAACAACCGACCCCGTGCTATCTTTCGTACCCCTTCACTCGATTCCCTCTTTTGTATCATACTGACCCAACAAAGCCCCCGTCGCGTTTTTTGATTTCAGATGCCTTGTTTAGGCCCCCATTTTTTCGGAGGTTCTATTGATTCTTGGAATTCTGCTTTTTGTAATTCGGGAAATGCATGGGAAATTGCGTGCGCCTTAGCGAGCGCACTAGGAATTGGGCTCGACAGTTAGGAATTCCGGAATAAGCGGAACCCGACGTGTCCTCTTTGTGCATGAATGTTCTCGGTCACGTCGGAGAAAACTCTAAGAATTTTGTGAGAATACGGACAGGCATAGGACTTTCTTTTCCCACGTCGACTTTCGCGCGCGTGGATATGGTGATTTCAATTTTTGAATGGGCTTAGGACGTAGGCAAGCTGTAACTGTTTTGATGCCTTTTTCTCTTGTTGTCGGCACCGCGCATGCGAGCTTCCTCCTCCTTATTTCCCGCGTCATTCTTCCCCTGTGCTCTCTTCTCTCTCCCTTCCCCCTCCTCTTCTTCTCCTATCGCAATTGTTTTCCCTCTTTCTGCTCTTTCCGCGCCTGTTTTCCCTTTCTTGATCATTTGAATCTTGGACCCATCTCGCGCTGCTTCTCACGCCTCTTTCCTTCTCGCTCTTCAACCTTGACTCGCGAAGCCCGGTTGATCCTTCGATTACCCCCGCTCACCAATCAGACACGTTGAGTAAGAGGATCTTCCTATTGCGCAACGAATCTGATTGGCCGAACATTGGGTTCCGAAGGATCAACATGGCTTCCCTTGAGCACCCCTCGCTGAATCTTCTCCTCTTACACCTCGATTTCCCCTCTGTCTTCTCCCCCGTCTGTCTACCTTCTCGCAAGTACAAATTCCGCAAGCACGCCCGCAAATCTCTCTTACGTTTTCCACTCGCAAGCCAGCTTTCGGGAAGCAGTGGCCAGGCGATGCGTTTGCTGCGAGTCCAAAAGTCATGACGGACTGACTGTAGGCTGGCCGGTTGCACACTTCATCGCCACGACGGACTGTGGGATCCGGGCGAGCCGAGTCGAGTTTGCGTCAGCGGGGTGACGATCGCAGCGGCGGAAGTTAGCACGCGACGGCCGGGATCGTCGGTGCGAGTATGAGGATCGGTAATTACAGTTGAGTGGATCATTGGCCCAAGGGCCATACTGGAATTTCACGGCGAATGCGCCTTTATGATTGCGGATCATTTTTTGGTGTGAGTTCATGGCTGTGAAGCCGAACGTTCCCTTGTCGGATTCCAGTGTCTTTTGTCTCGACACTTCCCACCCATCTCTTCTCTTTCTTTCTCTGATTTGAATGACGCTGTGTTATGAGTCTGTCTCTCCTGTGAACCGAGGTGAACCCTTGTGATTTCCTGCGAAGAAGAACTTCTTCCGAAACTCTTCCATTAGTTTCCTGGGTAATCCCCAGATGCAAAGGAACTCAATCATCTTGTCTTGCGAACGGTGGATGCGTGTGTACAATCCCCCGATTTATTTCTGATTTGTGCACCATTGTCATGTTCGCACCTTCCACAGTGGATGTATGCATAGAAATGTTTGTATGTGAATTTTTTGCGTTGATTAGATCCAAAGATCGACGGGATCTTGTTCGAGAATGCAAAAGTGTTTAGATTTGTCGTTCTGAATTGCACTACGCATGCCACCTGCCTTATGCTGCATGACATCTGCAGCCAGTCAACCTCGAAAGAGTCAGGCGCCTCGGATTTCTGTCGATCTGGCCTGCTGAACCTGAGTTGCGGGTTGATCCCTCGAAACTCCGACCCGATTATTGCATGGTTGTACGGGTTCTGTAAGATGCTTCCCTCGTGTCGAAAGGAAGGAAAATGTTAGTTGGTTTTTACGATTGTGCTTTCTGATGACATCCCGGGGTTTTTGCAAACTCATTCCGATTGAATGACATGTGGACTGACAGTCGCACATCGATTGGGCGCCAGCCTCGCGTGTCTCCCACGCCAACGCGCCCCTTCCCTTACAACGAGGAAAGGACACGTGTTTGTGAGTGAGACGTATGAGAAGCTGTCGCACGGATCGGCGGGCGGTATTACTTCCCTCCCGAAAATCGTTGCTCTGGATTCGTGGACGCGGGCTTTGTCATTGTCGATACGCACTTCCCGCCTTACTCAGTATTGTTGCCATTTTACGAGCTGATTGTCATTTCGTGGACGGCGGTGGCGCCCCATTGGCCTCGAACCCTGTGCACTGCGTGTCATCGTTTCGATTGCTACGAGTCAAAGGGCTTTCACTACCGAATACGGAGTGAAGACGAGCACAAGGAAAAAACCACGTAGCTGAGACCCTCCACGTCAGACTCTGAACTGACCAACGAGTGACGTCGGGACTTGATATGGAAACGGGACACACGTAGTGTACCGAAACCCTTTCGCTCTAAAAGAAGAGCCATAGCACAATGGGAAGTTCGACAATACTTTTTAGATTGAATTTGGATTTTTCTCTTTTCGCCCCGTGCCCGCGCGCGCAATTCGCGACGCGCAAAAGCAACCGACTGAGTTCATCAGACCAACACGGGGGATTTCAATTTTGTCTGTGTCCCCACACTCAATTTTCCAAAAATCCTTGTCACACCCCATCTTGCTGTTTTCCTGGGTCTTCTTTCCACACCCTTAGCACTCCAAACGGAAGACAGCGCAGGGCGTGAGGTTGGTATCGGAGCCGACTCATGTCGGTTCTGATGATAGTAAGCCGAACTGGCGGAGGTAGAAGAAGTCATCAACCTGCTCGTCGAGATCGCCCGGTGACTAGATCAAGATCTGGCGAGGCTAGACCAGCTATGCCAATGGCCGACGGCAACGCAGCACCCACTAGGGTGATTGTTAATATTCCTGCCGCTTTTCCTTTCTTTCCAAATCACACCCACCTCGAAGCTTGGTTGGAAGTCATCCAAGCTCAAGATTGTAGCGCGAAAGATCTCCCCCGCGTCATCACCTTGCTCCTTCGCAACACGACGCATGATTGATTTAGGAAACATAGATGGATAGATTGGAATACCTTCAAGCGAGCGTTTTACGGTCAGCGAAGACGCTGCTTGGTATGTACTCAAAACTCAACCGCAACAACCAGAGGAATTGTTGCCTGACTTCGTGGATCGATTCCAAACCACGTTGGACAAATCAGGGTGAGATGAAAATTCCGCCCAAGATTTCTTCATTGATCATCTACGAAATCCGACG